TTTCTAGCGTTGTAAGTCCGCAGACATACCGCTGTGCCACTGGAGGGGGGGGAATTATGGAGTAGTGTGCATGTGTATAAATATAGATGTGGGGGGGAGCATGCTGAATCTCCTCTTTGGAAGTTTTTTAGCTGCGGCAAAGCGGCTCATAGAATGGCTTTGAGATTATTTTTTTTTAAATACAAAAGTTTAGCTCAGAGCTCCGTCATCTCTTAACCGATTTGAGACCTGATTACAGTTTGTACTCAGGAGGTCAAACCCTTTCGATTGATGTATTTGACCACGCCTAAATATAAGTATAGAAATCTAACAGCAAGGTATGAGACATTAACTGCGTTATTGCAATTGTAACTCAACCTTTTCGACTTTCACTTGCTATTAGGAAATAATTAAAATATACTTAAAACATTCATAATAATTATTCTTAGGATTGGTTAGACGCGAACCGTTCATCTTTAATGAGGCGGATAATAATAATTTTGCTTACTGTCGTATCTAAGCAACGTGTTCTAATTCACGTGAATATCGCTGCTTGAATTATTTTACATGGAGCTGTTGCAACAATAATGTCACAGTATGGACACTGAAAGAGCCACGGCACTACCATGCCGATTCTGTTGCGACCATTCACTCATTTCATATACAGTACTTACCCAGCACAGGAATTTTATGATAAAAAATTGTTTGCACTTATTCTGTTGTAAAACTTTTAACAAATGCATGCGAATAAAGTTTACCCAAGTAAAATAAGTTATTCGAAAACGTAAGCTTTAAGCTTAATTGTGAAACTGATGTGAAATTATAATTAATGTAGCTTTAAAGTGCTTTAAGTTAACCTGTTTATATACTCCATACCATTGAGTCATCACGGTGTGGATTTAGCAACAATAAATCCTATTCGAAAGAAGAACAAAAGTTAAGCAGGCATTTTATCTGTTACAAAATAAAACACATGGGCCACTCTGACATAAGGAAATGGATCACGTGCAGCTCTGGGTATTGTAGTGTCTAACACCAGGTGTTACAGTAAGATAATATCTCGTTTATTAAATCTATTGATGAGCTATTGGTATAGTGTGATAGTAGCACATTTATATAACCAGGAGGAATTTAGGCATATTTTATTTTTAGTTTAGACTTGTGTTATTGGGATAAAGTTTAACGTACGCCATTGTTGTTTACTCTTGTTTTACAGATTCAGTCTAGGGCTCGCTATTGCTGTAATGTCTCCTTCGCTGTTAATAACTTTCCTCTACGCGCCAAACACGCAACGACGACGTTTACTGGCCGTCTTTAAACGTTTTCCTTTATTGTCATTCGCGTGGGCCATATGCCAGGTGACGAGCGCGTCGAATTCCTCATTCTGGCGGATGTTACGTAGGCAATTTCTCCACCCTTGCGCGGTATAGATGCGCGTTCGCGAGATGCGTAGTACAGATTCTTTGTGCCATTCTTCGCATACCAAGTAGACGCTCGGTCCTGTGACAACAAGAGTTCAAGCCGTCCAAAATCAATTCAATTTTGCTTGCTGCAGCTTGAATCTTTCACCGGTGAGTAGACAGTTTACATTTCTCTCTTGTGCGTGTCTAAGTTTCTTAGATTTTCTAAAAACAAATTAAAAAATTATCATTTTCTGTACTGTATGCCACAAATCTTTCACATATTTCAGGCGTTCCACTCCAAAATCCCTCTTCACGCGGCCAAACGAAACAAAAAACTGGGCTCCGTATTTAATTAAAGTATAAGTAGTTTTCTCTCTTCAGTTTATTCGTATTTTGGTGTTTTATGTTGCCTGTTATGCATTTTGAGGAACTCTGAGATCAGATATTTACGTAATCTCTATAGAAGTCGTTATTCAGCGCTTGGCGTCACTTTATCTACTGCTATGTTTTAGCCGCATGTGTATGGTTTCGCGCTGAGCGCACGCGGAGACGCTTGGTTGCCCCGTTTAGTAACGGCCTTAAGATTTGACTCATTGGACCAGCTGCCCTGAGCGTTTTGGCTGCTGTGCCATTTTGGAACGCTTGGGATTTCGTGCAAAACCTGAAAAATCTTTGTTTTGCTCTATGAGTGCATTTAGTCTTTGTCAGGTTTAAATTATAGCAATATAAAAGGTTCATGTCATCATCAAAATTAGATCAGTGATCACGTTTCTGATAATCATGAACAATTACCTAAAAGGCATAACTTCTTTGTTCCTAACAAATAAATCAAGATGCCGCTTCGTTAGTGTTTACTAAAAAAAAATACAAAAATCTCATAGTATTCTTGAGATATAGTTGAAGTTGGATGGTTCGTTAAACAGTTTAAGTTGGAAATGTTTTTATTAGACTGTGTGTAAGAATCTTGTGACTTCCAAACTATACTAACAACTCCAACCTACATCTATATTTATACACATGCACACTACTCCAAAATTCCGCACCCTCCCTCCAGTGGCACAGCGGTATGTTTGCGGACTTATAACGCTAGAAGCTGGGTTTCGATACCCGTGGTGGACAGAGCACAGATAGCCCATTGTGTTGCTTTGTGCTTAATAACAAACAAACAAATAATTATTAATATTATTTACATATTTTACTTGAATTAACTAAAAAGATGTTTAGGTTGCCACTAGATACAATTAAAAACATTCCCCACAATATTTCATCAGCCTAGTTCGTCACAAAAAAAGATTAATATTCATTGGCTATTCTTATAAACTTCAAACATTCTACCAGGGAGTTTTCTTCTTGTTGTCATTAGAGAAGATTGTGAGTAGAGTGAATATGAAAAGTTTGATTCAAATTGTGGTTAATTTTGTGCTAATGGATTAAGACACTTCAACAGATCGTATCTCACGATTTCATTATTTCATACACGCGCAAAATACGACGACCATATTGGGGACGAGTTTTTAATAGTTCTCTATACTTTAATATCTGTGAATAAAAATACACCGCGTCGATACCAGGCGTACGTTTTAGCTTCGTTGTATGCAGTCTGAATATTTGCAATGTAAGAAATAGAATAATAAATTTGGATCTACTACCACAGTCATTTCCAGATCGTTATCTGTGATGTTTTAGTTGGTTTAAATATGTTTTGGTTATCACATGTAGCAGGCTCAGTGAGGGGCGGTTTGAGAAGCCTACATTTCATCAAGCTCGTGCACTTAAACGTTCTTCGTCCTATTTTGAGACTTTCTCGACGAATCTGTTACCTCCACCAGCCAGCTAAATGTTGTAGCTTTCTCAGTACCCTGTTTGTCCGCTCCTCTGCTGCGATATTTGAAATTTGTCTATTAATATTAACTTCCAATTAAAGCAAGCTACTTATTCGGAATGAAACTAAAAATAAACACAAAGAATATCCAATCTCATTTGAATCGACAAGCCACGGTGATATTTAAAATCAAAGCATAAAATACAATTGGCCTCTCCTTGATCGCTTGATCGCATTGAAAATGGCCAGACATAATCATGATGATTAAAACAAACAAACAAAAAACAAGAACAACAACACAAGTTTTGTCTAAAATGGATATATAAAACTCACAAAGTCTACAAACAAGACGTACTTTTAACGCATTTGATTGTTCTGTGTATGTTGTTATATTATTTAACAGAACATCTTCATTCAGCCACTGTGAGTTTTATGTCCCCATTGTTTGTCTAACAATGGACCTAAACACTTAACACACCAACATGTGTTGTGTAGATCCCGCCAATAAAAAACTTTGTCAAATATGGTGACCAAACTCGTGAGATACAAACTGGAATTTTGGTTGTAAGTTCGCAGACATTCCGCTGTGCCACTGGGGGTGGGGGGGCAATATTAATAATAAACAACTTGGTGTTAAAAATAAATAAGTAATTTGATGTTAATAAAACTAAATGACGAAAATATTTCCGATGTGTAAGGACTTAAACAAATTTGTAAAAGTTACATTTCACCAACTTTATTTAGTTCACTCCGAAATGGTTGTTGTTCAAGTAACTGATGGTATCTCAACCACTACTCTGTTTGTAGTATCCCAGCCGGCCTGATGATATATCTCGTCGGCACAGGATGTAGTAGATATAGTGTGGTTTATATGTTATTACATATTGCTTTCAGTCATAAGTCATTATAATTATCTATAGTGTTACTGTCCTCTCAGTTTAGTGCACTACGTCAGGGTTAATGTATAAATGTTTTGAATAGTGTGACGGATGTTTCTTTTCATACGTTATTAACTCGAGTGACTAAACGTCCTTTTTCTGTTGATTTTTGTTTTGTTTTTTAGAATTTCGCGCAAAACTAAATGCTGTCTGCGTATAACCGTCCCGAATTTTGAACTGATAAACTAGATGAAGGGCAGCTAGTCAAAAGCACCAACCGCCACCTATTGCGCTACTATTACTGTCTCATCGAATAGATGGGTTTCACCGTCACTCTTATAGCGCACCCACTATCTCAAAATGCAGAGCGCATTTTTGCGGCATTGGGTTGCGAACCAAGAATCCTTTATCAAATAACAACCATCGGATAAGGTAGTAAATATTAGAATCAGTGGGAAGTAATTATGATGAATAGACATAAAACAACAGTTTACATTAATATTAGATTACCCTTCTGTTTGGTAATACTTAAGATGGTAGTTTAATTCTTCCAGATTTTTAAAATAGTAAAATTACGTTCATGTACCTGGTAAAGATAATATTAGATACGGCGACTAACGTGCCGATGAAAGTCTAATAATTGTACAACCTTAACACTTGTGTGTCGTTGTTTCATTAAATTATTTTTTTACATGGTGGTGTATTCCTCTCATAAGTAACCGTGTAAAATACAGCGCCCTTCCATAATTAGTTTTCTAATGAGAACACTAGACACGCGCAAAATGTTGAACACCCAAACACCACCCTAACATAAGTAGTTTCTATTGTATGACTAAAGCTGTTATTCACGAATGTCACCTTTTTCACAGTAGATTTTTGAGCGTTATCACCCTTGACGATCCTACTTTTTTATTTGGCGGGTGGGTGGGGGGTGAGATGAAAGGAGGTCGTACATAAATGTAAGAAGAAGGAAACAACTTCTTGGAGTTTTATAGTCCTTCTCAGTCATTTCCTTTTTAACTATTGAATCTCTTGGATACTTGGCCTGAAGTTTTGTTCATATGTCGTAAAAGTTATTGAAAGCGGTTATAATTTAGACTGTCTAAAATTATAATGTATTAATCTCTGAGGGTAATAATGAAACTCGTCTCTGTGAAACAAGAAATCCCAAGGCCAGTAGCGGTTTTGATTGTTTGTTTGTTTGCAATTAAGCACAAACCTACACAATGAGCTATCTGTGCTCTGCCCACCACGGGTATCGAAACCCTGATTCTAGCGTTGTAAGTCCGCTGTACCACTGGTAGGCAGCGATTTTGAATCGTTAACTTGACCGTGTAGAGAACTACGATGAGTCTATTATTTAGAAATGTGCTTGGATTGTTGAAGCTACCTAGAAAAACCAAAATGATATTCGAACAGTTCATTTACTCTTGTTTTTGAATGGTTGCTGATCCGTTTTACGTTTCAAACGGATATTGAGTAGGAATAACTTCAGTATAATTTTTTTAAAGGTAATTTACTCGTGGGAAAGGAAATTGATTTGCATTTAATAAACTATTATATGTGTATTAAACCATATATCTGTTGAAAATAAACTTTCACGTGAATGGAAAATTGGATTTTCATCATTCGTTCTTAGAATCTTGTAGAGACCAGTTGTGAAATCCTCCGTTCATTGTTGTGTTTTATTTACCATGATCTATGTTACAAATAGACTCCGACATTCACCTAGCTTACGTCAGCGGAAGTAACGTCACTACCCTCCACGTTTTTACACACAATTCGATCAATTCTCCAACCTTTGACAGCCATTTCTGCAGTCCAGTGTCTGCTCTTTTCGATGCCCCCTATTCTCGCTTGTCAGCTTGCCAAAGTCTATATCTGTATGCTGTCTCAGCAGGAGGAAAAACACGAGGGATGCTAGTCCCTGAGACGTCTCCAAGGCCACCTCAGGTCAGGGCGGCAACTCGATTTCAGGTGCTGTTATGTTTTGAGTGGAGGGATAAGATCGCCGGCCCACTCGTGCTCTGCGTTATATATATATATATGTGTATATACAACTTAGTCTCACGTGTCTCTATGCGCGTGTAAATGTTATCTAAATCTTCGTTTTTCTTACGTGAAGGATACATATTCGTGAAGACTGTCAGTATAAAAGTTATACCTTATGCTGAATATCAAATAACATATGTATATTTAAACATATTCTTATATTTTTTATACCTTAACGTTGCAAACAACTAGTCACATATATACATGGTGATTTTAGAGAAAACTTCATAATTAAAATGAATGTATCTTAAATTTAGTTTTCCTAGGGCAATTAAATTTCATCAGTAGCACAATGAAATCTTAAGTTTTATTGAGGGAAATGTGGCCATGATATGGTGTTCAATATGCTTTCCATCACTCTCAAGCAGCCTATCCATAAATGAAGTTATTACAAGTATAATTTGTTTAGGACGATG